GTTTTGTTTCCTTTCTTTCTTCTTGAAGTGTGTATGTTATCTTAAGCCAGTTTACCAATGCCATCACATCTTGGGGTCAGTTGGGCAATTTTATGCCATTTGACTTAATAATTTAGAGATTCTGAGTGACAGTGATAATATGCTAACTTCTGTATGAGTGTTTTAATGTCTGTCACAACATGAAAGGTATTCATTTAAAAAAGACACAACAGAATCAGATAAACAGCCATGTGCATCTGATTGCAAAGGTTGAGGAGGGTTGTTTCCTCTCATTTAATTAAAGATAAAAATATTTACTCTTATCCCATGGTGTGGGGTTTGGGAGAAGGGTTCCTTTTTTTATGACCTTATTGAGATATAATTCACATAATATACAAGTCACCCCTTTAAAGTGTACAATTCAGAGTATATTCATAAGGTTATGCAACCATCAGCACATTATAATTGTAGAACATATTTATCTCCCCTAAAGCTAACCCCATTAGCTGAAACTTACCACTCTGAATCCCCCACCTCAGCCCTCACCTTTTAATTGCTAGTCATACCGTGTCTCACTGAAATACTTTTCTTTTTACATTATCATCAGAATAAGAACAATAGAATTGACCCCTCAAAAACATGAATGGGTATCAAAAAATTGTAACAAGGTAACCCACAAAAATATCGTTGAAGCCAATAATCTGATGGCTTAAATAAGTAATTGCCAAGCAGTGAAGCTGTAGGAATGATGACAGATTGTGGTATCACTTACAAGAGTCAAATGCTAACAATTTTAAATATAAACTTGAAAAAGTCTTAGGTTACAGAAATCTGTCCCACTCATTAGAAGAGAAATATTTGCATCCAGGAATATTTCCAAATTCAAATATGACTTCACTGCTCCCCAACTGTGTGACTCTGGGCAAGAAACAGAATATTTGTAAATGTCAGTTTCCTCATCTGTAATATGAGAGTAATGATGGTTTCAACCTCATGAAATTACGGTGGAGGTTAGCATATGTAAAGATTTTAGAACCAAGCCTGGCGCATAATAATTGCTCAATAAACAGTTATTGTTGTTTTATCACTTTTGTTTGTATGATTCAATTCAGGTCAAATTCCAAAATGGAATTAGACATGCCAACTTGCCACATGTGATTGGTATTTTTTAAACCCTATTCAAAAACAATTTCCGGCCATGAAAGCGAGGGATCGTGATTTAAGATACTGTAAAGTAGAGAAGAAATAACATTGATCGAGTATGATTAATAGAGCTGTAAACCAGCCTTTAGTTGCTTTAGAGTCATGGGCTCTAGAAATAGTAAAAGTGCTAATTTATTATTCTCACCTAACACTCGTGTAACAGATTTTCCTTTTCTAAATTAAGAGGAAAATTAATAGTAACAAAAAAAAGGTTATGTAATTGTATTAAACATGTCTAATAAAAAATAAGAATAGTGTTAGAGCATCATAAACTACATATAACCTCTTATAGTCTAAATGCTTATCTAAGACCCTAATATGTGACTTTTAAATATGTGAGTGTGAACTAAAGTTGTGATTTGGTTTTGTGTCTGTAAATATAAGGCAGTGCAACCGCCAATTATTCTATTACGTTTTCTTTAACTCCCATACAAAATGGCTTTGGGTAATAAGACTGATATGTTAGATGATTTTATTTTTGAGGAATTGTTATGTAGTTTCTGTTCTTTAAAAAAGTGTGGTGCTAAATATTATGTCCCAATCAGATGACTCATGATACACACACTTTCATTCTTGGGAAATGTTAACACATTACAGTCCCTGCTTTGAAAAAAAAAATAAGAATTAATCACAAGCAACACATTTTTCTTTTCCTTTGACCCCGTGAGACAATTTAAATGATATGGTTTGCATGTGGCCACATTTTGGCTCTCAGAGGCCTCCACATTGTCCATCTGTGTCAACATTTTAATCCCAGGCTTTACTCCTTTGGCATTGTTTTGTATTTGCATGAAAATCTGTAAATTTTTTTTTTGCATGACAAGTCATCCGTAATGTTGAAGTCAAACGTCTAACATATCTTGCAATGTCATGTGTCATTAATTCTTACATGGTATTTTTTTCTTTTATTTTCAGTTATTGAAATTTAAATATGCTTGAAATGTAAAAGTGGCATGAAACTGGAGTGATGCAAGAATATTTAATGTTCCATTAAGAACTTATCATTTTTTAACTGGAAAAATTGGGAGGGGGGAGTTTCCACCCTTGTCTTTAAACACCAATCCTCAATCACAAATTATGATAAAACTATATTGAACGTAAGTGCTGTCAGCAGAGTAATAAACTCTGAAGTGATACTCCTTTTTTCCCTAAGAATATATTTCTACTTCTTGAATATGAATTATAAAATGCATCCCTTAACTTCGAAAATTATTAAATATTTGATTTATTGTTTTTCTTAAAGCTTTTTTAATGATAATTAAAATTAAACTCCCTTGACTTTGGTGAAAGTTTCTAGTAACTGAAAAAGCAATGAATTACTGAATGATAGCAGCAACATCTTAGTGCTTTAACATTTCCTAAATGAACGTGATGACCAAAATGGATGTTCGATATAGCAATAGGTGAATTATGGTACCAACCTCATTGACAACACCATTTTGTCAAGCTTCAAATCCATAAAGGCACATAACTGATTCTCACCAACAGGCCAAAATACACACCTCTAAACAAATGCTTTTGCTTCTAAGCAGTCACCTCGCTGGCTCTACATTTATTTCTACCAGCTGCCATTGATAAAACTGTTTTAGAATACCCCTTGTCAAATTACCTTTAGAGTCTATTATATTCATTGTAATACCTATGTGGTAACATGTCTTGTTCCTTGGAGAACAGCCCTCAGAGCCAAATTAGTCAAATAAGGTTGACAGTCAAACTGGCAAAACATATTTTTTAAATAAGTAAGTATGAAATTACTAAGACTTGCGTGGCTTATAGCTTATAAAATGAATGAACAAATTTCCCAAAGAAGAACCCCAAGCATTTACATAACAGCAACAGTGGGAATAAATGAAATTTTCTTGAGTCTTCTAGACAAGAATCTTATATTCACTTGAATGAATAAGTTCTAATATATGTATTATATTATGTGTATATGTATTATTTTAAATTCAGCATCATTTAAGTGAATGGAATGGTTTACATTTTTAAGGATAGCCCTTCTATTATTTTTTACTATATTAGAATATAGATAATTAACCATCATATCTCTCTTGCTTGAGTTAATATCAACTTAATACTTCTTTAGTAACAATCTTAACAGATTTTTGGTTGACTGTGTCCTGGCTGTCACTAGCTAGCTCTGTGATATCGGCAAGGGACTCAACCTCTCTGACCTCTGGCCCGCTGTCTATGAATGAGGGCTTGGGGCTCAATTATTGTCAAAATCTCTTTTGAATGAGAATATGATACTATAGTTATCTGTGTATGAAACAGCTATAATTATCACATATCATAAATCTCCACACATCTCTTGTGGTTTTAATTAAATCCAAGCTGAAGTAAATCAAATTCAACTTATTTAAAAAGACAACTAGACGCTGATGTCTAGGTCAAGTAAAAATCTTTCCTACCTGATGATGATGATGATGATGATGATGATGATGACGATGATGATGGTAAAGACAGCATTTACTTTCCTACTGCCTTATGTGAGTCTCACAACTTAAGAGCTGCTATCATCATCCTCATTATGCAGATGAAGAAGTTAGAGGTTCAGAGAGATTCAGTTACCTGTCTAAGGTGATGGACTAGCAAATTGTAGAGCCAATCAGTCTAGTTCTTCTGCTTGCAATTTAATACTCTTTTCCTCCATCATCATGTATCTGTGACCAGTCTTTTAATTAGGAGATGATTTTTCCAGGATGTCATTGTTCAGAATTTACAATCCTTGAAAATAAAATCTGCCTTTAGGGATCCTCCGGCCCCTCTTTAAACTATCCACTTGCGTCACTGCAGCTCTCTCTGCTTTTACAAACTAGTTGTTTTGTCAGCATGAGTGTGACAACAATTAGACGTCCCCTGTTTTTGCCCCATGCCTTTTCTCCTTCACAGTCATTCAATGACAAGCGTAAAAAGAGCTTCATCTTTTCACGAAAATTCCCATTCTACAAGAACAAGGAGCAGAGTGAGCAGGAAACCAGTGATCCCGAACGTAAGTAGATTCTCAAAGAGAATGTCACATGCAACACAAGAGAAAAAAATCCTTCACGGGCAACACGCATGATGTAGGCTCCCCCACGCCACACGCCTAGGCAAACAAACACAGCAGGTAGGCAGGTCAGGGCTTACTACTGTGACCAGTGTTTGTCTGCAGTCTGGATCCTTCCTTTGACGTGGCTCTTCTTTGCAGAATGCATTGGAGAGCGACTTGGGGAAGCTGGGACTTCCAAACAGCATTGATCTGTGACCAGGACTGGGTCTGATTTGCCTTTCCTATCATGCAACTCTCTAGGGCTTGAGACAAATTCTATTTTGGACAGAAATATTGGATTCCATTGCTATATATATTTTTTGGAATGCTAGCTAATTGGGAGCGATTAAATTCCTATTGATCACTAGCATTTGCGCTCTTTCC